AAAAAGACAAAACTCGTTAGAAACGTCAGAAAAGCCTTACTGACCAACTTGAACAAGTGGATGAAATACAGTATAACTGTATCAATGTGGAATTCAAGATATTATGGCACTGAAAGCAGCATCGCAACAGCAACCACAAAAGAGGATGGTGAATAGTAGATAAATAAGTAGAAAAAGATTGCATAAATAATGGRCGTTCACTTCAAGTGAAGATTCAAGTGAATGGTCGCATTCACTATATGCTAGATTGCAGAGATTTGAATTTACCTTTTGTGTCTGACTTTATCTTGAAGCCTTCTAACCTCAATTTTCACATCTTCTTGTCCCGCAAATAAGCAATCAGATTTCGGGCTAAATTCAAACCTCTCTTGTCATGCAGTGCACATAAACCAAAAACAGGTCTTGAAAAACACATCTTTTGGATCGCTCGTGGGACTGTTAGTAGTGGAATGATGCACAACGTCTTCATCTAATGTTAAATTCTATCACTGATATAGTTGTTAATGGTATATAATATTGATATCTACAGTACCAGAAGGAAAACCATCAGATGTATCTGCAACACCAAAGTCATCAACAAGCATTGAAGTAACATGGAAGGTATATTTCTTAGTAGAAATCAGTCGTATGACTTCCATATATGGATGTTCCTATGTATGGCTCGAATGTACAGACAGAAGTCTATCAAATCCCTATATTAGGTTCTGCAATTATATATTCAATCTTACGTCGTTATTCCTGAAGTCCATCACAAAAAAATCACGCAAAATTCATGTTCATTCAGGCGAATTGAATTCATTCTTCAGTGATTGATTTAGGGAAATAATAGGGTTAGAAAATGGACAACGATGGGTTCGAATCTTCATGCTCGCCTGTAATTTTAAGTTTTCGAAAAATTTCTTAGTCCTTCTCCGCATACTGTGTAAATGAGAGCCTTCTATATGTACATAAACGACGTGTACATGCTCATCTCTATATAAAAGTCCTATGACAGATCCTTCTCATATTTATCTCATGCCTATTGCCATTGTACCGCTCCTGCTTATTGATCTACAATCCGCCCCAAAAGGCAATGACCACTTTTAACACTTTTCGCATGTTTTATATCGGGATCCTTAACACAGTCCATAATACACCCTGACACAAAATAGCAATATTACAGTTCCTAATCATTTCACAATCAACTTAGATAGTATAACAAAAGAAATGTACTAGATTCTTTTTTGTTACCTCCTTGATTCCTTATTTAGTCTTTTTGGTCGAATAAGTCATTGTTCTTGTACTCTAAGTATAATGTCCATGTTTTTGATTGGCAATATTTAGCATGTCAAACATCTCTCCAATTTTACCTCAATATTCTCTAGTTGCCACGTTGGGCAAAATTCAACGGACCTTCCACTGGCTTTAGAATTACATACACTAATGCACGAAGAATCAAAAAGACAAAATTTTATATAAACGTCAGAAAGGCCTTGCTGAGCAACTTGAACAAGTGGATGAAATACAGTATAACTGTATCAATGTGGAATTCAAGATATTATGGTCCTGAAAGCAACATCGCAACAGCAACCACAAAAGAGGATGGTAAATGGTAGATGAATAAGTAGAAAAAAATCTGTATTGTAATAATAATGCACAGAACCAAAAGATTCAAGTGAAAGGTCGCATTAACTATGTGGTGGATAGCAGAGATTTGTATTTACCTTTAGTGTCTGATACTTTATCTTAAAGCCTTCTGACACCAAAACCCACACATTTTTGTGCAGCAAATAAGCAATGAGACTGCGGGCTAAATTCAAATCTCTCTTGTCATGCAGTGCACGTAAGCTAAATATAATTCTTGAAAAACATATATTTTCGATCGCTAATGGAACCGTTAGTTGTTGAATGATGCACAACTTCTACATCTAATGTTAAAGCTCAAACAATATGAATATAGTTGTTAATGGTATATAATATTGATATCTACAGAACC